AGGCCAGCATGGGGTCTGGGTATTACCCTCTTGAAGTTGGTGGGCTCAACCTGTCCTATTAGAAGTAACCGGGTTCTAAGGGTCCCAATATCACGGGATTGCTTTCATTGTTCATCGTTTTGATTTAGCCACTGAACTGGCGACCGAAATATTCCAGGAAAGCAACCCTCAATTGAGTGTAGTATCGAGTATCAACCAACCTCGGACTGCACCAAAGTCAGTTATCTCACTACCCTAAAGAGGCCAAGATAGTTCAATTAAGGTTCCTAAGGTCTGTTGATGCTTCACGACACCACGCGGAGGCCCCGTACTCTCCTTGACTGAACTCAAGGGTTACCGGTACACACCAAAGTGCCACATCAACGTAGCAGACTGTTTCAACCATGTCGGTATACCCCGCACAGTTCCCTCACAGCCTTGTTGCTACTTTCTAAAAAGGTATCCCCCAGATCCGGGTTAGGATCTATAGAACTCCCAAGACAGTCCCACAATTTAAAGCAAACAAGGAAAGCAATTGAAAACACAATTATGAACTAACCCTAAGGTACACCTCACTTTAAGTTAAGTCCCCAGCAGAGTCGCCAGTTCTGTGATCGGTGGATCTAGAACTGACTGTTTAATGCTGGTTCGCGAAATGTCGCGGAAGCAAGAGTCGCCACCGTCTTTTATTTTCTCCAAATGGAAAGGACAAAAGCACAGAAAAATTCCTTAAAGAGATTGCTCTCGGTTCGGGAGGTAGGTTATAGAAAGGGAAGGTGTTAGCACCCTTTCTATCCATGGTTATCCATGGGCTCTTAGATACTTGCTCACTTGTGTTTTCAAAAATGGTTTGTTTGCTTTTCAACTGTGGGTTTTAAAAAGTTTCTTTGAAAATTTCAGTTCGACTCTTGTATCAGTCCTCAAGAGTGTTTGAAAAGTTGCTTTCAAAAGCTTTTTGAAAAGGTGTCGGTGTGAAAAGCTTTCAACCGTTGTAAGTATACTTATATATAAGCGAATTAACTCTCACTCTTTCATAGTAGCACCGTATCTATCACAACAAAACCCTAGAACCCATTTTTTCTCTTCTTCATCATTAGCATTCTTATTCTACAGTATAGTTGTCAATCTTGTTCTTCTTACATAAAGGTATTCTTATTTTCCCTATTCTCTCATTTTCGTGTATGTTGTTATTATGTTTCACTTGGTTTTCCTATGAATTTGTTCTTGTTAGATAGTTTATGGCTCTTTTATTGTTCTATGTTGTTGTTGCATGTTATGTTGTTGACAAATAAGTTTGCGGTTTCATATATTGATAATTTTCATGGTGTTTGTAGAACACAAGAAAAGTGAATGAAGAAACAACAACAACAACAAACTTCATCTAGTTTTAGAAGCTATGAAAAGAAATATAAGAAGTATGAAGCTATTGTGATAACTCCATCCACCTTATATATTTTTTATCATGGCTTCACAAACTAGATGAACCTCATATGGTGATGATGATGATGATGATGATGGTGGTAGAAAGCGTATAGTATGAGTTGATAAATGATTTTTTATGTACATCTAGCAAGTGGTTATGGTTCTTTATTTTATCACTTAAAGATTCAAGAAATGGTTAGTTGTTCAGTTCTCCCAATCTATGTAAATTATTCGATGTTTTTGTTGATAAATGTTGTTAGTGAGTTTGTTATATCATATGTGATTGCTTGTTTCACTAACCCCTCATTGAACTTGCATTCATTTAAAAATATTTTTAAGATAATAATTTAAAAAATTAAGTTATTCTTGAAAATCAACTTAGACGATCCAATGTTTTTCGAATTGCATGCGTTTTGTAAATCATAATTCCCTTTTTAGCGTATAGAATTACATTCAATGTCAAAAATTCTTCAAAACAATGTTCATAAATGGATGTCAGTTTGGATCTTTCACACAAAACTTGATGTTTGAAAAATAAAGTATAAAAGAATAAGAAATCAAATTTTATGTGAAAGACTCAGACTGACATCCATTTATCAACATTACTTTGAAGAATTTGGAATTGAATCAAATCCAATAGGCTAAAAGAGGAAATCATGATTTACAGGATACTTGCAATTCGGAAAAAATATTGGATCGTTTAAGTTATTTTTCAAGAATAACTTAATTTTTCTGATTATTGTCTCAAAAATCTATTTGAATGGTTGTATATGGTTAATGAGGGGCAGGGAAAAACAAGAAATCCCATATTTTATAATAAATTCTTACATATACCACAACAGTTGAAACCTTTAACCGTGGCGAAATGCTATTTTTATGCACTTTAATTTTGGTTGTAGCTGGGTATCGAACTCATGCCACTGTAATTATTACAGCGGTTGTTTATGTCAACCGTTGCGATAGACATTTTACCACAACAGTTCCTGAACCCGTGATTATAAGTGTTGTATATACAACAACACTCTATATAACAATGCCAGAACCTGCGTGATTATATTTATTTTTAAACCGTTATTAAATGGGTTTTTGTAGTAGTGTTACACACACTTAAGATTGTCTGCTTATGTCATCACATGGTGTGCGATCAATTTGATTGAGCCTCTACTCTCTGTTTCTTCCTCGTTGTTTTTTAATCTGAACGTTTCTTTCCATAATGGTTAAATTATCTATAAGTTATCTGTTCATTGACTTATATTAGATTTTTTTAAGTATACATGAGCTTGTTTCAACTTTTTATTCACACCAAAACTTTCATGATTTCCCTTTTCACTATCTTTTATGCTCTAGTATTAGTTTGCAGAGCTCCTTCTTCACTTTCTACTTATTGAGTTTTTCGAGTATTTCCTTTGTTGCCTTCGAAAATATCTTTTTATAGGAAAAAATTGCTTCGGAGAAATCTCTTCGGTGATTAGTCAATTTTCAAGAAATTTTCTCAATGTCTGAAAAATTATTACGAGTGGTATACATAGCATATTTTGAAGGATTAATCTAGAACAATATTTATAGTGTAATAGAACATCGAACTATTAATCTGAGTTGTTTTATCCTGAGACACTTCAGGATTAACTGTTTGTTTGCATAATTTTGAGTCATATCTAAATATTTTATAAAAAGTGATCTAATACGTGACTTATCCAATCATCTCTTTGATGACATAAACTATTTTTCAAAATTATTAGTATTTTGATCCGTGCGATACACAAAAAATTAATAATCTTGCTATAATAAAATTAATTAGATGTTTAAACAAAATTTAATATAATATATTAACCAATCGTTAGTTGGTCCAATGGTGATTGAGTTGGACTTAGTAGGGAGGACCTAAGTTTGATTCCACGCAACTGCGATCGGGAGGGGGCTGGAACTACTTGTTGTCAGAACTGACCCTCAAACCGGACTATACCGGTGGTGAAAAACTGAAGATTGTTTTTTAATATAATATATTTATTAACTAAAAAGTAAATATAAAAGAGAAAAATTTTAAAATACTATTAAAATAGTGTGTGAATATATAGAGAATTCATATAGGAAATTAGTCAGAGAACTTATAAAGAATTATAAAATATATCATTAACACTATAAAATTAATAATAATATCATTATCAATATTCAAGAATTGAGTGATTGAGAGATGATTTTGATGCTAATGAATTGAATATGAGAGAAATAAATATAAAAGAACAAAGAAAGAAAAATACGGTCATATGATAGAAATAAAATATTATTTATACCACATCTATCTTGAATAATTAATTTTAACATCTTCAATAATTTCTTTACAAAACATTCTGTTTAAGATAATTTAAACTTTATACTAAAAAAAAAAAAAAAAAAAAATAATAATAATAATAATAATAATAATAATAATAATAATAATAATAATAATAATAAATATCATAGAAAAAAATAATGAATAAATTTGCACACAAAAAATTGTGTGGACAAAATAAGATGGATTTATATGAAAATATATTGGTAGTTATTTTTAAAGAAATTGATACAAAACGTGGAATAAAAAGATATATGTTAACGAAAACTAAATAATTAATTAAAAATAATAAAGAGAGATAATGAAATTAATTTTTTAATGACTATTTTATTTAAAATTAAATAATATCATAATTAATTAAAAATGATAAAGAGAGATAATGGAGTTAGTCAGTTAATATTTTTTAAAATAAAATAAATTAATATTGATAATTACTAAATTAATCTTAATTTTGACTTCAAAATTTATACTTAAGAGATTTAACAACTTTAATTAATTAATAAGATTGATAATTACTAAATTAATCTTAATTTTAGCTTTAAAATTTAAATTAAGAAACTTAACAACTTATTTTAAAATAAAAAATAAAAAAAATCCCAAATGTGCTTATTCTGTAACCTAAAGTGATGCTTATTTTAATAAATGAATCGTGACATAAATTTAGATTGAATTGCTCTAGCCCATAGCATTATATCATTAAAGGATATAACCTCTAATGTAGGCTATGAAGAAGGAAATCTTTAGCATGATGATGTTTTTCCAAAGATATTGAACTGTATTGTAAAGAGGGAATTCACATGAGCAATCCATCATTTGAGATGCAGAATTTGTCCCTAAAAACAAAAAAGTTGCTTGCTAAACTGAGAAGGAGTATGATGGGCCAGAGTTTGAGCACTAAATGCATTGAAACTAGAATACATAAGTTTTATTATTTTCCTATGTATACAAATTTCAATTCATACAGTTCCAATGGTTGCTCTTTTTAGTACAAAATTAATGTCCCGGTCCCTCTGTCACTCTACAGACACATGCACTGAATATGCCTACGGTTTAGGATAAAAAATTTCATTATTAGTAATAATCATGTACCAGAAAACCTGAAACAGACACGAGACACGACACAGACATTGCTACACTGATAATGTGAAAAATATAAAAATTTACAATATGGAATCAATAAATAAAGTACTTCAAATATAAATTTTAGGACAATTCCACCCATGATGCAATTTGCAAACAAAAAAAAACATAAAAAAAAAATCAAAACTACCTATGATGAATCTCTCCTTGTGGCCAATGGAACAACTTCAGCCAAAGGTGTTGAAAGAGGTGTTGGAATAGGTGAAGTTCTACAAAGAGGACAAGTGGGATGCAACCTTAACCAAGGTTCTATACACTTAAGATGAAACAAATGTTCACAATCTGGCAAAACCTTAAGCATGTCACTTCCTTTGTAATCACCCAAACATATAGAACAACATGTTGAGGTTGAATCATTTTTTCTAAGCTTCATTTCAGAATACAGCATCTTTGGATAACTCTTGATTGTTTCTTCATCTAATCCTAAATCAAGTATTGAATGTTGTGGCTCAAGAAATAGAGAGGTGTTGTTGTTGTTTCTTCTTCTAGGAGCATTTGGAACTTGTGATCTTGCACAAAAGTATGAAGTGAGTGTGATTGTTGTGATGAGTAAGAGAATTCCAATTGAAATTCCTATGCCATAGCCAAATCCACTTATGTCATTTGAGCCAAAGAACCCAGATGAATCGGCTGTGTTGTTCATCTTCTTGATGAAGAAAAGAATACCAAGTTGTTAATGATGATGGATTTTTTTATGACATTAACTAAAGTCAATGGTGTATGATGATGATGATTCATATGAGAGAGAGAAAGAGAGAGAAAGAGAGAGAAATTAGAGGCGTTGCATGTGAATACATTCTACTTTCTCAAAACGTTAGATTGTGTGTTTACATGTCTTACAAGTTTGTGAAGGTCAACTATTCTTTTTATATTGGTGAAAAATGTAGCTTGTGATTTGTGTATTGAATGTTGATTGATTTGAGTTCACATAAAAGTGCATAAAGAAATGTTATTTGCCAATGGGTGAAGAGGGGAGAATGGGCACGTTCCATGCATTACTAGAAAAGTTGTTGAATAAATTTAATTGCATTAGTTTTCGTCTTGCCAAGTGTAAACATTGTGCAGCCAGATAGATTTCAAATAATTCATTAAAACTATTGCCCCTCATTTATTTTGGGGAACTAGCCTTATTACAATACTATAAACATTATATTTAATCAAAACTCAGGTGTGTTCGAAGCGGAATGAGAAATATGTAATCTTGAAGAGATGAGGTATTTCGTTGCGGTGGTGAGTTTTTTGAGCAGTAGAATAGGAAAGACTTGCAAGATTAACACTTCAACGTACAAGTCATTGAAATTAAAGAGATGTTTTAGAGTGAGAATGAGATAATATCTAAAATGACGTGATTTTGGACTTATATATGATAGACGGTTAAAATTTCTTTTGTCTAATTTGATGTGAGATTTGAGGAGTCGCCCAATCAGATCTGACAAGGATGATGCACTAGTAGCTAAGATCAAATATTCGGCTTTTGGCGAGATCCTACTTGTTTCTTTGTCCTTTAAATGGATAATGTAAAGTGTGTCTCATTATTGGGTCTTTTTTGCTCTTTGACCGGTTCATAATAGTTTCCTTAAGTCCTTGTTGATATTTTGTGAGGCTAAAATTGACACTATCAAGTTGCCTTATGATGTCGTCGTATTCTGACATGGCTAGCCATCTGTTCGCAGAAGAGAAAGAGTTTTGTGAGTTTAAGCGAGTGGTCTCAAAAACATGCATAAATGTTTATCTTGTAACTGTAACATTTCGTGGAGCAAACATGACACATGGCTCCAAGCCTAATGGATAAAGTGACATTTTTAAGGTAGTTGAGTACCTAAGTAAATCGAGGTTAAATCAAAGTGTTGATATACGTTTCGTTATGTCTTCCAGTGTTGATTGTGTGTTATTTGATCTAGAAATATATGGAGATTTCAGGATGAGCTTCCTCTTTTTTCTCACTTCTGCCTCTTATGAGGTTTAGGGATCTTCCAGTTATAACACCTCAATTTTACCCGACAATATAAATATAAATCAGAGTTATAAAAATTATACAACTGAATTAGGATGCCACAAATTCAACTTAAAAACCATTGCATTCAACATGGATACATAACACTTTAAAACTTAGAATGAACCAACAGCAAAATAAATTAATCTTTTAAATCAACAACTTGAACAACTATGCGGCAGAATCATAATAACATCTTTATCCAACATGAAAGCAACTTCTGAATAACAAGTACTTAACAACAATCAACTTAAGGTTCAGCCAACTGAAATAACAAATACTAAAGCAACAAGCGTTCATCCCCCTGAGTGTTACGTATCAGAGCAATGACACTGACTCGAACTACTGAAGGTAAATCACCTTCACTATGGATTACCTGCACGTTACTAACATAAGGGTAACATTCAAACATAAGGGGTGAGATATCGAACACTATAATAGAATGTATGATAATTAATATATCAGAATCAATTCATATGAAATCACCACTTCATAACTTTCAAACAATTTTAATCTCAACAAAACATTAACGCGACATAACAACTAATTCACAACTTTTAGACGATACCTATCACAACAATTCAACAACATAAAGCAACAACAAATCTATCTTCACCACAACTCAAGATGCAACATCAAATGTGACTCAATTACAACGCACATGCATGTGGTACCAATGGAGCAGAATTCCCAACTTAAAAACAGAGCAGAACTCCCATCCTAAAAACGGAGCAAAACTCCCATCATAAAAACTGTCAATTAATAGAGGCATCAACAAGGCATAAGCCTTCTTCGCAGTTTGTCAATCCAGGCCATCACAGAGTATACAAATGTATGTGACTCAATGAATACACTATCACATACTCACAATAATCATCATCCATCGCAAGGCATAAGCCCACATCACCATTATTACCAGTAAATAGAGGTAATTCATCATCATGTAAAACTCCCAGCAACTTCGAATTATCAACAAGAATTCACAACAACAATCACAACAACACAACATCTTAATATAAGTCAACATTTTCCATAAGCCTATCACATCAATCAATGATTAAGTAATTAACATAATCAAACAACAACTTACCAATAATTTTGCACAACACTGGTAACGACCAAAACACAACATGTACAGGAAAAAGGGATAGGGAACTACGTGCCCCTCGACATGCATAACAACTAGGACAGCCTAACAATAATCCATACTCCTCGACACGCACAGGGGGAAAACAGGGTAACAACCAACCTATGCTCCTCGTCACGTCCTGCAACCTAATTCTGCTCGAAAAATCCAATGCATCATTCCCCGACACACCTCGCAGCCTAAAACGCCGCTCGATACCTACTACTTCAGTATCCTTCCCGACCACTAATTCGGCCAACAACACAGGCACGATACAACGTCTTAACGACCATACCACTATAATTCATAACTTTTGGCCAACTGCTCAGAATAACACAGTAACGGGAAACTATATTCCTATCGATAGATTCGTTCATTATACAAGACCGACTACAACAATAATTCCTAACTTTCTACCAACTTCTCGAACCACTACAACATCGTAACGACCATACCATCATAACGACCACAATAACCTAACGAACACAACAACAAGCAACAATCTACATTAACCTACTCATCTACTCTACCGGGAAGTCACGCAGACAACACAAAACATCCACAACATAACGGAATGGGTATCTTCCCTTAACTGGTTCAGCAACATCACGGGAAACAATCACAATTACGACCAATTCTCCATAACAAACATCATAAATCCCATTATAAGGTCAGAACTCCACCCTTACCTGGATTGAAGGTCGCTCAACCAAAGCTTCAATCGTAATCCTTGATTCGCTTTGCTCGATACCGGGAAACTTGCTCCTCGTCCGCGCAGCTCCACCGATCAGCGTACATAAATCCTTATTCTCCAACTAAAACAAATCCTTTTGTTAGCTTCTCCTTATATATCAATCCTATTGGGCCTAACCTACACCCCCACTTTACTACTTCCAACCAATAGCTTAAGCCCAATATTATATATATATATATATATATATATATATATATATATATATATATATATATATATATATATATATATATATATATATATATATATATATATATATATATATATATATATATATATATATATATATATATATATATATATATATATATATATATATATATATTGAAGGAAAATTTCGATCAAAAGCGCAGCAGAATTTAAAATTTTCCTTTAGCGATCCTTACGAATGAACATGGTCAGTGATAGAAATATTTACCTCTTGTGGCGATTCAGACCTTTGATGTTGTGATCACGAGCATTGATGAAGAACAACGCCTCTACTCAGTCCACACGAACAGATCGCTTCCGGTCACAGTGCTAGCTGATCACGAACGGAAATCTTGAGTGAGAGAGAGAATCAAAAATGAAATTGCATCAAGTGAAATTGCTTCATCACAAGGGATCTATTTATAGAATCACTCGTGTGGGCTACAAGCAAAAAGCCCAATTAAGGCTATAAGCTAAAAGCCCAATTAAGCTTATGGACATCATACCTTATGATGTACCATATATCACTTACCCACGTGGTACCTTACCACTTTACGTATTACACTTAAGTGCACCGTACCTTACGGTGTTCCTTATTTATTCTATCTCTCATCAACCTGTCCTTATGTGTGTGACACTGTAGGTTTTCGCGACGTTGGCAATTATATTAAATCACACATTTAATATAATAAACAGTGAGCGGTATCTAGCAACACATCACTGTTACCCAAGTCACGAAAATGTCATGTGATCTGACCAAACCTTTTCCGTGATAATATTTGTGTTGTACAATTACCCTTTTACCCTCATGTCTATATTGAACACAAGGCATACACTGTGTCACCCTTGTCCAGTTCAATATTGGGACCTTAGACATTTATCCTGTTATGCAGGATGGGCAAATTCCATTTAGGTCACTCATGTCCCTTAGCATGCTTTGTGAAGTACCCATCAACCGTCTTTATAGTCATCCAGTTACGGATGACGTTTGATCAGCAATAAAGTACTTGACTCTACATCTAGGGTCCATAGTGGTTTCAGGCCGAAGGGTGGTATACACCATTATCATCATGAGAATAACTTATGACACTTTGCATAACATTCTATGTAGTATTCTCATAGCGGGTCAATCCAGTATAAATATTACTCCTAATATTCATACCTATGTCAAGACTTGATAACTCCTTATCTATGATCCATGAGATGTGATCATCAATCTATCTTCATAATAATCTTAATGCTTTAATGTTATCCCACTTCACATTAAAGCTTGACTACGGATACTTTAAGAATAGTGTCTTATGTTTAATGGGATCACATGATTAAGTCACACTTAACATTTCATTAAATAAATAAACCATTATAGGGACTTTATTATTTTGGAAAGCAAACATAATAAAGAAATGCCTTTTATTATTAATAAATAATTCGATACAAGTACCAAAAGTATTGGCCTCTAGGGCTTACACCAACAATCTCCCACTAGCACTAGAGCCAATCAGGCATACCCCTAATACCTATAGATCTAGTATGTCCATCATGCTTCAGCTGCGCAAGAGGCTTTGTTAATGGGTCAACAAC